AAATGGAAGTGACATACAGAAAACAAAAGTGAGGTACAGCTGGATTGGTCACAAACTTGGCATTGGCCTTATTTGAACAAGGTTCAACAGCTGGCTGCCTATGATTGACTGAAACTCAGCTGCTGTGATTGGCTGACACTCAGCTTTCCATTACAAAGGCAAATTCCCAGTTTGTTTACATACTTACTTAGGTTGCAGTTCTTTTTTTACCTAAGGACTCAATTCACAGAGGCCTCTTCAGGCCAAGCTTACTTTGATCTACTGTGTCATCAAGACTGTACAACATGGGCTGGAGATATAGTGTAGTGGTAGAGCACTTGCCTAAGAAGTGTGAGGCCTTTTGATCCCCAGCACAGCAAACAAACAAATAAACAAACAAAACCCTATGGCAAAATAAGCCCCAAAAGTGATGGGTACGGGGTTATTTTTAAAAGGGTAGCCAGGGAGGTCTAGTTCTGAGAAGCTGCATCTGAACGGAGAACTGGGTGATTAAAAAAAAAAAAAGAAAAGAAAGAAATATGCTTACAAATTCCATTGCAACCATACTTATATAATTTTATTCTATATGGCTCATGTCTCCTAAATTAGATGGGATTTTCTTAAGGTCAGGGTCTGTCTTATATTTTTGTATTCTCCCATAGCAACCAGTGTAGTGCTTTGCACAAGCAAGAACTCAGTGACTCATACTAAAACACATTTCAACCTTAAATATAAGCATCTCTAAAGACTCAGCCAACAAAGGATCCAGCAAGTTACCTGCTTGCTAAGACAAAGAAAATCCAGGAAAACAATGAGATACTCAACCCCAAGGCTAGACTTTCTACTTGCCTCCAGTTATAGCAGATTCTTATCAGAAAGTCTTCAAGATATGCCAAGACTGGTCATCTGGAGAGTGACTCCATTCTGGTGAGATCAGGCACTGAACTCTGAGTACCAATTTCTGCTGGCTTACCATCCTGTGATGTAATTTCCATTCTTTTGTCTTCCCCTACTTCTTACCAATGTCTTTTATTTCTTAAAGGTAATCACCCCTATTAAAAGTTCTGCAGAAGGCCACTGGATCCTATGAAATCTCTTAAGGATAAAAGAAGAGTCTTCAATATACTGAAATATACTGAAAAATTCTCAGAAGGTTTGGTGAAACCAGTTCAGGTCATCTAGGGAAGGTTTTTCACATTTCCAGTTTGGGACTCCTCTATCACTTTTAGGGAGGCTTTCCATTTCTTGTAGCAATCCCTTTTCTTCGAATGCTTTCTCTGCATTAAAAACATTTTACGGTCAGAACTGGAAGGCCCACCCAGAAGATAACATCATGGTAGGGGAAATTCCTGAACAAGGAATATCCAGAGCAGTGTGTTTCAAACTTGCTGTACAACTGATTTGTTCTCTGATCTGGACAAGTTACATAATCCCTTTGAGCTTTTGGATCCATGATTATAAGATATGATGTTCCTTTCTCTGATAATATTAAAGTTACCAAAAGGAGAGAGCACTTTATTTTCTACTTTTTGTGGTTTTGGGGATCCAGCCCAGGGCCACACACATGCTGGGCAAGTGCTCTACCACTAAGCTACACTCTCAGTCCTGAGGGAACTTTAAAGCATGCTGATTACTTTATAGCATAATATTATCACATAAAAGTAATTCATCATGCTCTCGTGCTTGGTATGGTAGATATTTACATTCCTTTGGCCTCTCATTTCGGCATGAAACTTCAGAAGTAAGATTCTGCCAGACGCACATTCCCCCTTAAAGCGGTGCTTTTAATAGCCCTTCTTGCTTATCTTTGCTTTTCTTACTTTCTCCCCCTTCCCCCTTACTTTTCTTACTTTCTCCCCCTTCCCCCTGTACTTTGCTCACCCCCACCTTAGAGAAGTCCCCTAGTGGCATCCCCAGTGACTGTTCTGTTGGCTGAATTCCTCAAGCACTGCTGCCTTTTGGCCCATAGACTGTCATTTGGCCTCAGTCCATTGGCTCTAAGCATCTTCTGAGTTATTTATGTTCTGAACAAGGCCTACCTCTGCAACTGGAGTTTCCTTGAAGGCAGGGGTTGTGATTTATACCTCTTTGCATCCTCAGTTCAGGCAATGTATTTTCATTAACAATGACTTTTAGGGTTGATACGTATTAGTGTTCCCCCAAAATTCACGTCTACCTGGAGCCTGCTAATGTGATTTTACTGCAGATATGATCAAGTTAAGATGAGGTCATGTTTAGGATGGGCCCTGAATCCAATGACTGGTATCCTTAAAGAAGAGAGAAATTTGGGGGCTGGAGCGGTAGCTTAGTGGTAGAGCACTCACCTGGCACGTGTGGGACTCCAAGTTCAATCCTCAGCACCACATAAAAATAAAATAGTAAAATAAAGGTGTTGTGCCCAACTATAAAAAAAAATAAAAAGGAGAGAAATTTGGAGACAGGAGAAATTCAGGAAAGAAGGCCATGGAACAGATCTGGAGTGATACTGCTGCAAGGATTGCAGGGAGCCAAGAAGAGGCAGAGGGGGGTTCTCCACTAGAGCCTTCAGAGGAGTCACAGCCTGCCAACAAATAAATTTCTGTTGTTTAACTAGTCGCCTGATTTGTGGTAATTTGTTAGTGTAGTTCTAGGAAAGTAGTATAAGAATGCTGAGTACAACAAACCTGCTTCAAGCGTGGCAGACGCACAATTCAGCCTTTGGTGACCTACTTTCAGAAGCCCTGAGGAAGAGGTTGGGCCAAGGTTTCTAGGGAAGGAGGAGAGTAATTGAAGGCAATGAATGGAGAGGAGAGGAAAAGAGCTGGGTATGGTCTGTGTTTGAAACAATCCAAAATGAAGTGCGTGAACTCTAAGTTGAAGATGTTTTTAAGGTCCCATCACAGAAGTGGTTTACTCTAAGACAAATAGTTGATCTGAGAATTGAAGATAGGAGAGAAATTAAGTGAATAGCTATTCACTTTGTGATAATTCAAAATAATAAAACTGACCTACTTGGGAGGCAGTATGTATTTCCTAGAATGCCTTGCTTGAGATAATTGAAGCTGATGATGACTGATGATCCTTTCCAACCCTGGAGGCCTGGGTTCCCCCTCTATGGTTAAGAGCAGGATGACCATTCAGACCACCTCAGTTCTGAATTCTGGCTCTGTCACTTACTGGCAAGTTATTTCATCCCACTTGCCTCCATCTCTTCATTTGTAAAAATCAGAATAAAAATAGCACATATACCCCATATAAAGCTTGAGATTGAAAGATTTAATCTGCATAAGTGGCTGCAAACAGCACACAGGATGGATAAATAGAAGCTTTGGTGGTTAGCATCAGCAGCAGCAGCGGCGGCGGCGGCGGCAGCGGAGGGGGCGGGGCATCACCATCCTGTGCAGAGGAAGGAGACTCAGAAAAGGTAAATCATGTGAACTTTAATCGCTCCGCCAGAAAGAAAAGATCCCACTAGGAAAGAGACGAGAGCTAGCTGTTTGCTTCAAAACCTGCAAAATGGGACCCTGAGCAGGGTAACGTTTTTATCAGTCTCTGTTGATATGGGCAGACTCCAGGTACTGGGAATAAAGGTTGGAATCCTACTTGAGGCTCTCTCTTTGGGAGTAGTTGGGTCCTGGGTCCTAGGTTCTGTCTGGCTCCCTACCAACAAAGCCAGTATACTGCCGGCTTTCAGTCAATAACAAATGATGGAGAAAGAAATAAGCCAACTGGGATGGTCTAGCTTGCTGCGAGAGATTCCTTAAGCGAAGGAACAGCAAACACAGCTAGCGCTTAACTTTACAGTTAGCATACTTGCAAAAACCCGCTACGAAGGACCCCTGAGACAGATCCTGCCAATTGGTTTAGTAGAGGTGTGCCTTCTTTAATGCAATTATTTAGTGAGCGGGAGTGGAGGCAGATATCGCGCCCTGAGGACTCGCCACCCTCAACCCCGCTTGAGGATAGAGGAAGTCTATTGGACATGTAGGCACTGATTGAAAAACAACTTTGTAGCTTATTTATTGAGCAAAAGGCTCCACCTTCCCACGCTGCCGATAATACTCTGCCAGGCTGCGTAGGACATTCCTAGTCTTACCCATGAGAACAACGCGCCTACTGCCGCGACTGGACGATTCCTGCAGTGCCCGGAGCCTCCCGGAGCCTGGCGTTCGCGGGGGAGCCAAGAGTCGCAGATGTGAGTCTGCTTTGTCACCGCCCTCTGAGCGACTTTGGGCAAGTCGCTTAGCTTTCCTGATCTTGGATTTCTTGTCTGCTTAATGCAGGGAAGGAACCAAACCTGGATGACGCTAAGGCAGCGGCAAAGAGCCGGGTGGCTCGGCCCGGGTGTGGCGAGCGCCTGGAGCGGAGCGCGCAGCGGAACTTCTGTCCCAAGCGTGGCGCGGCGCGGCGCAGGGACCCCGGAGTGCAGGGCGGGGAACTCCCTCTGCGGGAGCGCAGCGGCGGCGCTCCTCCTTTCTCCACACGTCACGGGGACAGCTCCGCGTTCTCCCATCCCGGGCCGAGGGAAAGCAACTGCCTGGCAGGGCGTGTGACCGAGGTGGCGACCAAGGCGGAGGGCGCGAGTGGGCCGCCCCGACTCCCACCGGGTTGGCCTCCGCAGCTGCGGGGCCCCTCATTCGGGGCTCCCTGGGTCCCTTGCGTAAGTCCACTTGGCCACGCAGGCAAGAGAGGAACGCCCGGGGTTGGGAATATCCCGTGGTGGTAGGCGCCGTGCTCCTGTTTCAGCCGCTGGGTGGCCAAGACACCTCGACCCTCTCCTCGCGACTTTCACTTTCCCCAAGGAAAAACTTGGGCGCCGAGTCCTTCTCGGGGATAGGGGTGGGGACGTCTGCCCAGGAGGGCCTCCTCGGGATCCCGGACTGAGCCCCCACTTGGCTTAGCGCCAGGAGCCAGAGGGTCCCCAAAGGAAACTGGCGGGCTCGAAGAGTCGCGGGGCAAGCGGGCGACCCCGGTGTACACTTAGACGCTGCCGCAACTCCAAGGCTCTGCGCAGCACCCTAGCCCGCGGCTGGACTCTGCAAAGTTCCCTGAGGCCGGCGCTGGGAAAGGGTAGCGGACGCCACTGGGCGCGGAGTAGGTCCTAGGAGACGGCCCGCGGCCGCAGCGMGCAGAGCCGGGGGCACGAGGGCACCGTTTTCCCGGTTCGCCCCGAGGGGTAAGAACACGCTTGTAAACCCCGATTTGCCGTAAGCCAAGATCCCTCTGTTTCGGCCCTTGCGGAGAGACATCCATATGCGAGGAGCGTGAAGGAGTTTTTCCTGCAGCTTCTCCTGTAGAGCCAAAGGGATTGGGGCGGAGGGGGTTCTCTTAAGAGTTCTTTGCGGGGTAAAGCTGCGGCCCGCGCTTCCCGGGCCGGCCCTCCGCAAGGACAAGCTTCTGGCTTTTTAAGGTCAAGTTTTCCTGCCGCAGAGCCGGCGGGGATCGTCCCCCTTCTAAATGCCGGTGCCTTCCCAGCCGGCTGGGAACCTGCAGAGATCTAAGCGGAGTTGACTTTACCGTCTTTACGTGGGCGAACGGGCGAACGGTGCGAGTGGGTGGGTATTGTTTTGTAAATGTTAAGAGCTAAGCTTTCCGGAGTGGAGATGCTGTGGGAAACTAGAAAACATCCTTTTGCTGAGCAAACGGAGGGGTGATGTTATCCCTGGAGCACACCCCCAACCCCTTTTTTTCTTATCTTTAGAATTAAAGAGCAACAAACCAGAAGATAAGGGAGTTGGGGATACTATTAATTCGTTTAGATCTCTCATGTGATTTGGAAGACATAGAAATCACCCTTTTTGATCTTACATGCATAAAACATGCCCTTATTATTAAGCCATCTTTTAGCCTGACATTCTAGAAACACAGTTCATTTTGGCAGCTATGGTTAATAGTGTCTTGAGGAAGAAAAATCTTTGAATTATTGCTAAGAACTGTCCCTATGTTGCACTTTCTAAGGATCCAATTCTGTGTGAACAATGACCAATTAAGATGTTGTTGAATTATCTTTCACTTGTATTAGGAGAGAAGGAATAGCCAAAGAATGGGATTGTGTGGCACCGAATTTTCACTCAGGAAAACTACAAGGAGAGTGTCCTTGAGAGAGAAGTTTTTTACTCTTTTCTTTGGAAAGCAAGGTATATAGTGGTTTGCTAAATGTCACATCCTCACGGAGGTAGATAGGGGTGAATGACATAATTGGGCAGTAAGTCAGAGTTGGTGCTGGATGGCTGAGAGTGGTGAGAGAACCGGATGAAGCCAGGAGAGACCAGGCTGGCATCCGGTAGGGGTGGGGGTGGATGGTGGGTGGAGTCTTAGGACAGTTTCCCATCTGAAAGTGTTCTAAAGAGATGTGAATTCAGAACCCAACTCTGCTGCATGAGGAATGTATTTGAGGAACCCCTAAATAAACAGGGCTGAGTCAGGGTCTGAAAGGGTGAGGTGGAGGAAGGGATGACATAGTGACTAGACTCAAGACCAACTCTGAAATGACTTGGAAACAATTTTATGGAAGGTGTGAGTGTGGGGAGACTCCCTCTAAGCTTGGGTGCTGTTGTTTTCAGAAGCAGGGGGCACTGTTGGAGGAGCAGGTGCCAGGAGAAAAGCCAAGCATGGTTTTGTTGGGTCTGAGCAGCTTTTCAAGGTTCCTGAATAGCAATGCTTCTCAAGAGGCAGGATGGAGCGGGCCCTGGCTGACTCTCCAAAACTGGTTGTCACCTGTGTCAGGAGTGGTGTTTGAAGCCTGGGGTGGGCAAGAGGGATGCTGACTGAGGACTGGCAGCTGCTCCCAGAGAGGTGAGACAGAGGGATGGCTTTTTTAAGATGAAGGAAACTTACACATATTTAAATGTGAATGGGCTGTAGCAAGTTGGAAGAAGTTGGACATACAGACTATCTGGAACCCTTGCCCCTTGAAGTATTAGGTAAAAAGCAATTTGATTGGGGTGATATTTTAATATCAAGCTCACATAACATAAACTGTCAGTATCTTACAACATATGAAATATGTTTGAGCAATTTGAATTTTTACTTTCTAGATCATGCAGATTTAATGTTTAAGGGAAACACAGATGGTGTTCACACAACAGAGCTGCAGCATGGRTAGGAGCAAGGCCCCTGGAGCCAGACTTGGCCCTGTCACTCCATAGCTTGTAACCTGGCATGTTTCTTGGCCTGTCTCAGCTTCCAGGTCTCTGAAGTGGCAGACTTGTAAGGACCCCTGAGAGGTATATGCTGTATACCTCCTTGTGGACAGATAAAGATTGCATAGGTGCCTCATCCATGCACAATGTGTGCATCATGCCTGGCACATAGCAAGGTTTCAGTAAGCCCTGGTGCTGCTGGCTTCGTTATGATGATGTCATTTCTGTGATGTCATATCTATCATTTCTAGACATAAAATTTCAGACCTGGAGAATTTTGAAACTTGGCCAAGACCATAGAGTCAAGAGTAGCAAGTTAAGACCAGGATCTCTTTGGCCTGACTCACAGGCAGGGGCACCTTCCACCTAGCGTGTCAACAAGTGCCAGGTACTGGATCTGGTTCAAGATCAACTATAATAGGAGGATCCAGTCACTGCTCGCCAGAGTGCAGTGGAGCAAAGCAGACATCAGTGGCAACACTTACAGACTACCCAAGCAATCTAGAAATGTGTGTTTGGTATTAATTTGCATTGCTTTGCATGTCATCTTACATATGCATTCCCATATGCTAGTAAATTTCCCCAGTAGGAGCAAAGGCTGAAGTTTCAAGTATAGGAGAGAAAATAAAATTAACTAGAAATTAAATGCAGCTGTTTCACTCTTAATAGCCTCCTGGGATGGTGGGCTCAGTGCTTTTAGGAAAAGTGTTGGATCTGTGTTTACTGTTTTAGAAGATAGGGGAAGCCAGATATCATTTGATAAAAGCAGGTATATCTTAACATGTTGGGAAGCTGGATCTTCCAAACAAAACAGAAAAATACAAGAAAAGTAAAAGATGACAAGAGAAAAGTTTTATATAAAAATGCCAGAAAATGAAGCAGAAGCAGAAAAAGAAGGCTTATGAAGCCAAACTAATAAGAAACACTAAGGGTCAGCAGGTAACGGTTGAATTTCTGCTAAGCAGTATGAAAGTTTAGAATATAACTACAAGTATTTGAGTCTTTAAAACCAATCAACTCTCCCTAATTTGGACTTATTGGGAAATGGGCCATTGTATCTTAGTAAAATCTCATGAATGCAGAATATCCATAACCAAAGAAACAAAGTATGATTCTCTTACTTAGAGCAATGGTTCTTAAAGTGTGGTCCCTGGGCCAGCTAGCTGCAAAGTAGCACCTGAGGACTTATTATAAATGTTGGTTCTGACCACTCAAATCTGCTGAATGGAATCTCTGGAGATGGGGCCCAGCAATGTGTGTTTTAATAAGTTCTTTAGCTATTTGGAGCAGCAGTCATGCCTGGTTTTTTCACTTTTTCAGCCGTAACCTTAACTTTTCTGTGTTGTGATCACCAGCTTCTTGCTGTGCCACTTGACTTCCATGCCTGCTGACCTGGGAGATGGTTGAACGGAGACACAAACCCATTGCTCAGTGCATCTGCTCAGAGCAGAGTACAGCAGGGTGGCTGATCCCTTCCCTTCCTTGGTCCAAGTCTAACCTGATAGGAGATGCTTTCTAAGATCCCTTCCTTTCAGCCTTAGCATTCTGCAGCTCTGTAGTCCCCAAGCTGTCCAGGGCCACGGAGGTTTTGTTTCACTGCCTTTTTCTTCCTTTGGCAGCCTCATACCAAACAAACTGTGACTCATACCAAATGTACAGTCAGCCAAAACACTGAACCATCCTCTACAGATGCTCCTGTGAAGCCACATTTGTCCATCTAGTAGGCGTGCAGTTAATTTTCTGGACCTGGGAGTTTATCTCTTAAATTTGATCTTACTAGATCCAAGTCTGACACAATCTGTTTGGGTTCTATTTCTGTCCAATTCCCATATAAACTGATGTCCTCTTCTCCCTTGGACACCGAGATCCTGGCCAAAGAATTAATGATGATGTGAGTGTCTTTATTAGTAGCCACCTCATACGTAATGAGGCTCAAAACCATGGACGCTTTTGCAGTCTTATGGGGACAGCACTGGAAGAATAATAGCTGGGTGCGGTGGTGCCTGCCTGTAATCCTAGCAGCTTGGGAGGCTGAGGCAGGAGGATTGTGAGTTCAAAGCCAGCCTCAGCAACTTAGCAAGGCACTAAGCACTCACTGAGACCCTGACTCTAAGTAAAATATTAAAAAGGGGCTGGGGATATGGCTCAGTACGATTCTCTTACTTAGAGCAATGGTTCTTAAAGTGTGGTGATATGGCTGGGGATATGGCTCAGCACCCCTGGGTTCCATCCCCAGTACCAAAAAAAGAAAGAATAGTCACAGTCCTGGCATCACTCACATTTGAGTTACTGCTGTTCTAAAGTGCTCTCTCAGATGGTTTCCCTTTTTAGGCCTTTGTTCTGTAACTTCACTCCTGGTGTCTGTCACTTCAGAGCCATCATGAGCATATTGTAAGTGAACTTGGAGATGGCTTCACTATCCCTGTATAAACCATCAGAGTTTTATTTATTTATTTGTTTTTAAATATTTAATTTTTAGTTGTAGTTGKACACAATACCTTTATTTTATTTATTTATTTTCATGTGGTGCTGAGTATCTAACCCAGGGCCTCGCACATGCTAGGCAAGCAGTGTGTCGCTGAGCCACAATCCCAGCCCCTTGGAGTTTTATTTGTGTTTTTGATTTGTTTTGTAGGTGACATAGAGGTGAGTTTCAGCTTATTTMTAGTCATATTTAAAAGAATTCAGAAATCTGGGAAGCAAAAATTGTGCCTTTTTTTGTTTTACCTTCTAGAACTTGACTTTTCTGCTAAAGTCTAGATTTAATCACAAGACTCAAGTTTATCTGATTATTTTTTTAATCTACAATTTTGCTGATACAAAATTTTGCCCTAAGGAGCTGGAGGTGTAGCTCAGTTGGTAGAGTGCTCACTTCACACGCACAAGGCCCTGGGTTCAATCCCCAGCAGCACCAAAAAAAAAAAAAAAATAGCCTTTAGAGCAACACAGTGACATAGTATGATGGCATAAGAGAAGTTTTAAAAGGCAAAAATCAGAACAACTTCATGGGGGCACTGCCTCATCATGGTTCTTA